AATCTGTGTCAAAGGGCGATGTTCCAAATAGAAAGTCTTCTTAGATGGCTAGTATTAAAGGTTTCTTCAGGCTCATTTACACCCTCCTCTTCTGTAGTGGGCATCCCTGTTCCAACGCACAGACTTTTGCGGTAGAGTATTGCCAAAATAGCTCTGCTTGCATCTATGTTTCCCATACAACAATGACCTTTTTTCCTTTCCTCAGTTTAGGACGTCATTCCGTGTTTGCAGTCTTAGGTAATGCTGGAGTTGACTGGCTATTTTGACTTCTTGAACGGTTTTCATTGTGCATCTTACACAAGAAAGGGAAGGGGGAGGAGCTGGTGGCTACAGAGCAAATGGAGATACTTGGAAGTAGATACAGGCAGAGGAAATAATGGAATAAGGTCCTAAAATATGTTGCGTAATGAAAAATCATCTAAAGATACAGATATGGAACTAGTACTGTTGTGCATGCAAGGAGGCTTAATATCTTGGAACATTTAGCAGTGTTTTCAGTCCAGATATGCACTGCAATATAGCATTTAAATTTATCTACTAGCAATAAATAAATTGAACATTGAATTTTTTTTCAGCCTGTAAAATTGGCAATGGAATAAGAGAATCTCAAAGTCTATCACAGGGTGACTATATCAATTTAGGGCTGTTAAACATTCTTTGACATTTAAAACTTTTTTACTTCCTCCTCTTTTCTTTCTCTTTCTTTTTATTGTATATGGATGGGAAATTAAGAAAGGGAACCAGTCAGTTTATAAAACAACTTTTCAATGTCTGTATTTCTGTCAAGTTAAGATCACAACAATCCCAGTGAATGTCATAGACCTTGTTCTTGCATGTTCTGTGAGGGTATAGCAATCCCTTCATGTTTTTCAGGCTAGACTATCTTGCAATTTGTTAAGCTTCTTTTGCTTATGATTTCTTTACCTATATCTGTGAATTTACAAATTTGACTTTCCAAATCATTGTAAGTTCATTGCAATCAATGCAAGCCATTGAAGTGTTGAAGAAAAGAGAATATGTACAGTTGAGGATCAGATGCATAGGACATGGAGAAGCAAATCAGCACCAAGGAACAAATACTTCTAATCCATACTACTGACAGGTCGAATTTAGCTGGGAGTATACAGCAGTTCTTGAAGTATGTTAGCTAATGCATTTCTTGATCTTTCATCTGGTTTCATATGTAATATCAAATCATTTGTGCAGGTGTGTGAATTCTTGAAGTTACACAGAGTTAATTACACTGAGTTATTGAAGCAGTAAGGTCTTAATTTATTGCTAAAATACAAATAATCATGCTGCTTGTTAGGAATTGGACATAACTGCCTGAAGAACTGAATAAATAATTGCTCCCAGATATGTTTGTTATCAACTTTTTCGTCCTCTCTGAAGCAGACTAGCTTTCAGCCAGTTATAGCAGATCTGGCTCACATAGCTTGTAGACTGACTTAGTCGGGCATCTGGTATTGGATATGATTCAATAATACTGTCATAGTTTCTGCGTAGATTTACACAATGTATTTCACAATAGTCTCCATCTTGTTATTCATACTTGATTTTTTTATCAGTCATTTCCTTTGCCATATATGTTATTGTTTGCACACATTAGCAAGAATTATGAGATGATGTGTCTTTGTCTGCCATCGCAGAAAAAATATTCATGATTTTCTGCGCTAACAGAGTTTGCTGAAAGAAACCATTAATTTTACACTTGGGGCAGATTTTCCCAAAGATCTGACACTAAACTCTTGTGCTACTTAGGCAGTGAGAATAATAACACAGATTTAAGCAAAAGTAGAAATGGATTCCTCGCATTTCCAAACCTTTGTGGCATTTTTAATATTCAGGATGTACAGAGAAAACATAACCGTAAGAAAAATCCATGTGAATGCAATCATTTGTACCACCCTATTGCAGTAAATTCAAGTAATTCTGAACTGTAAACACGGTGTGGGGGTGTGTGTGTAGGTAAGATCTGAGCACTTGTTCTCTTGCCCTGTGGTTTTGCTCAAATATCTGAAGAGCAAGAATTAGAAAATAAGCACAAGCAAGAAGGAGAAATGGGATACAAAACCAAAACTATCGCTGGACACAGTGTCAGAAAAACTAGTCTCTCATAAATCTTCTGTATGTTTTTCAGTACAAAAAATAAATGTCTTTTCTTCCAGTGCAATACAGCTTGTAACACTCAAATCAGAAACACCCTAGCAAGCACTTATTCTTTAGCCTGAACTGCCTTCTGGAAAATTTCAGGCATTGACAGTCAGGATTATTTTCTAGTGTTGTTCAAATCCAGCCAATGCTAGTTCCTTTTTCTTCATCCTTGCATTTGAATCTCAGTATTGCGTGCCTTTTATTGTTGGACAATTTAGTTCATTTTAAATTAAATCAATCAGTTATTCCCCTACGGTAATTAGACACTTTGTAAGGTTGAATTGCCCCACAAATAGCATAGCTCAATGTGGGTTACAAATAAGCATGAATTTGCTCATTGTCCAGCAATGACATCTAAGTAGCCTATATTGAAATCAGCAGATTGGCATGATTTGACAAATAGATACAAGATGATAGATCCCAGCTAATGTAAAGCAGTACAACTATGCTTAAACCAGTGGAATGGTTCATAGGTTATACTAGCTGAGTGATATTTGTGAAGCACAGAAAACGCACCTATAACTATAGAATTGCTAATGCTGCCAGTTATAAAGATTTTTGCTCTAATACATTTGGGAAAAAAAAGCTATGCTTGTGCTTGTCTTTGTATTTCACTCTTCCTTTCTCTTAGGAGCCCTTATTTGGCTTTTTTATTGCTATATTTTTTAACTTTTTCCCTAGCTAGGGAAAGCAACTATAATTATTTCTCTCTAGTATAATCCAAGCGCTCTGATAATGCATGCAATGTAGCCTGATTTGTTACTAGTTGAACATAAATCCTTCATCTGGCAATCAGAAAGACACTCAACCATCTCCGCTTTAGTGCCAAACCTGATGACAGAAGATGGGAGTAGAGACAATATTCTTGGCACACTTCCCTGTTTACAAATCCCTGATTTGAAACCACATTCTTTTGCTCTGTGATATTCTTGCTTCCAGGAGTATGGAATAAGGTAGACTCACAATAAAGCCCAGATGTATTTTATTTAATACAGGGACACAAGTAAGGAAAATGCTGTGCTTCTGTAAAGTTCTGACATTGTTTCTTTGAACTTTGTCATCATCTTTTTTTTTTTTTTTTCAATCCATGTGTGTCTGTAAGCCTGCATATGATAATGGAAGGAGAATACTAAGTTATAACTGAGCAAGGTATAATGGAACAGCAGGAAGCTTGTGAGCCACTTAAATTAAAATGATGAGGAAGAAATAGGCATTAATTATCTCAGGCTGCATTATCTTTTCATTTTGCAGGCAAGGAAATGTTTAACACCCCAGGAAGAAAAGAATTAACTTCCTTTGAATCTTTCCACAGTGAACCAATGCTCAAGAAGCAAAATGCTTTACTTCAGACTGGAGAGATAATTTTAAATCACATGCGGGGGGCAGCTATATGAAAGATCAGAATCTAATATATTCACAGAGCAAGAATGATGAGATGAAAAAGGAGACAAAGAAGAGACTATGTTCATGTTCGCTCTGTCCCACAAACCATGACCTCTTCCACAGTCACAAGGACCTATTTGCAATTTCAAGGCAATAGCTATAAATGTTAATAATTGCCTTTACCTCTTTCTCTGTAGCTTAGCTTCTTGCCCCATTACCAAAACCATTTAGTTTCTCAGTAATTCATTTTCTACATAATCTCCTTTCATGTCCCATGTTTCCTCTATTGTGTTTCACCTTGGGCAGTACACCATGTAAATAAAGCCTATATCCATAATCGCTTTACTATACTGCTTAAGGGAATTCACTCCTGAAAATTCCGTTCCAACCTGTGTCCATTGTAGTAGATCTCTTCAGTCCTCATCAGGTGGGACAAGGAGGCAAATATTTTAAAAGCCATTTCAGCATCAGTGATATAACCTTCAGTATCTATTCAAAACTTTTAGATGTATTTAAAGGATGAGTATGAAACAGATAAAGGCATCTGCAAAAGAAGTTCATCATACTGTATTTTGATTTCAAAAATTCTTGCTTTTGCAATAGTGTTTAAGGACACGTTATAGTGGTATAGACACTGATCAAATGGACAAGAACATCCAAGAACTTGTATTCAAGTATTTTTTTCAAATCAGAAATAGAATTTTAACATACTAGCAGCCTGGAAAAATATGTATATTGGTATTTAAGGCAGAAATAATTGAGTTAAAGTAGAAACGATTGAGTTCTGTATTCTTCCAGTGAGCAAGAGAACTCCTAGCTTCACACTTTCCACAGTGTGACTATCACAGAAAAGACAGAAACAATCAAATATTTGTGTAAAACAGGTAGTATTTTTAGTTCTGTGTAGCATTTACTGTAATTGAGGTGTATATTGTCCTTCCTAAACCAGGTTTGAATTTGAATTTAGTATTCTGTCAAGCTCTTGGGTGTGAAATGAAAATAAAATAGTTCCCTTCTACTCCAAAAGCCAAATACCTGTGAAAGCAGCTTTTGATGCTCTCTCATGTCATCTCATGTTTCTTTGATGTGGTTATTGGTGGGTTTCCATCCTTGGTCTTAAATTTCAGTTTATAACAAATCCAAAGCCCCGCTTCATTGCCGTTTTGGTAGTGAACAATATTCATGGGACAAAGCAGGTGCTGGTTACCTAGATGGGGGTAAAAATATCTGATAACGTTACCCACATTTTTTCCATGCGCTTAGAGGCAGTTAAGGACTTGTGAAATTGGTTCCTCTAACATTTTATTACATAAGAGAAAAAAAAAAAACAATTGCCTTCCAGCCAAAAAAAAAAGCCATTAATGTTCTTTTTCTTCTTTTTTTTCTTTTTTTTTTTTCTTGTTTTTTTTTTTTCTTGTTTTTTTTTTTTCTTGTTTTTTTTTTTTTTCCTATTTGTTCTCAAGCTTCATTCTGACTTGGACAAGGGAGTGGGCACTGTTAAATATACCCTTTCAGGAGATGGTGCCGGCACGGTTTTTACCATTGATGAAACCACAGGAGATATTCATGCCATAAGGAGCCTAGATCGAGAAGAAAAACCTTTCTACACACTCCGGGCTCAGGCTGTGGATGTTGACACCAAGAAACCACTAGAGCCTGAATCAGAGTTCATCATCAAAGTGCAGGACATTAATGATAATGAGCCAAAGTTCCTGGATGGGCCTTACGTTGCCAGTGTCCCAGAAATGTCTCCAGTGGGTGAGTAGAGGAAAGAAGGAGAAGGTTGAAATGATAATATAACTTCTAAAACATATTATTAGAAACATCTTAATCTGTGTTTAGAAATATACAGACTACAGTTTTGTTTTAACTCTGCTTATTTAGAAACTTGTTGTCCTGCAAAATGAGTGCTTGTAACTTTAAGTCTTTGAGGACAGGAGGATAAAAAAAGATATTCAAGACAGGTATGCTAAGATCCAGGGGTTCTGTATACCCTCAAACCTGTTATTTCACATGATGAGGTGTGTTGCACTTTCTTCCTAGTTATCATTGACTGTTTGCTGTACAGATTTAGATGGTACAACATCATCTTACCATTTATTGTTCTTGTCTTTGTGGCCATTAAACTCCTACAGCATTTGCATGATCCTCTAATTCACAATTAGGGGAAAATTCTTTATCCAAGTCCTGCTATGCTGTAGGTGCTGAAAGTAATAATTGCCCTCACCTGGCTCTCCACAATGCAAGAATGGGAGTCAGAGAGGCTCAGCAAGACTGGCTCAAGGTCTCAAAAACCGAGTGCCCAAAAAGATACCAACAGCATTGGATTCTTAAGTCAAGAGAAAGAGGAGACTGACTGGAAACATGGTAAGTTTTCAAAAAGCCAGTGTACAGAGGAGAAACTCTCTCTGAAGAAAGATGGACTGTAGTAAGGATACCGAAGCATCGGAGTAGGTTTTTGTTTAAAGAATTTTCACAACACAATAGACATTTGCCAGGAAAAACATAAAGAACATCGATCCTGCTTTGGAGCATGCGAATAGACTAAATGGGCCCTTCGGGTCTCTGCCTGCTGGCTGATTCTGCAGTGGTCCTGAGCCATGTGTTTGCAACACAAACACACTGTTTGTGTCCTGCTGCCAGATGGCAATTTGGGCTTCCCTGCGGGCACCAGAAATTAATTTGTTATGGGCTAGAAGGCCCTTAACTTCCCAGTGTTAGTTTCAGCTTATTGCCATTTTCTCTCTTAAGCTGTCTTTTCCCAGTACTTCATAAGCCAGTACGAGTCATTTAATACTCCCTGTAGTTGCTAACAGTTTCAGAAGTTTTCTGACTCTGAAATGTGCAGAGGGATCCTCTTGCCCCTTCAGCTATGCAGCTCAGATGGTGATGTTTTGAAAGACAATCCAGGAGGCACCTAGCTATCTACACAAGTTGCTATATGGAATTAATGAGGTAGTGTTTTAAATTTTGTGATAAAGAGTGGTAAAATGTGATAAAATGTGATATGAGTAAACATGTAGAGATGATCACGTTAATCTCGTACGTGTGTAGAGCTGAGTTCACTATATGCACCCATAGAGGTGCATCTATAGATTCATATATAGGTGCACTATTGTCGTTGCCCCTATAGAGATGCCTAGTAATATTACTTACAGTTGTAGTATTTATACATGGAAAACAATTGTTATATTTTCAAGTCTATTTCTGTGGCAAGTTCAGAATAACATTTTCTCACCAGTGAATGTATGGTTAGTTGTTAAATTGTTTTTAAGACTTGATCAGAGAGAAAGGAGAAAAATAATAATGAATTATGCTATTTACATAGTGGAATGCAGTGCATGCATTCATTCTCTCACTCTGTTGCTCTCCCTCCATCTTCCTTTCTTATTTTCATAAATATGTGTGTGCAGTAGCAGACAAAATGCTAACAGTGGTTTTATTTCATGGGAAACTCTTCAAGGTGTGTCATGCATTGGGGCTTTTTCATTGACTGGGAGTTGTATGACTAAATGAGATGCAACTGAGTATGCTGTGTCATGCATACAGCATTTTAAAAGAAATGCTTTTCAACTTACTCTCTGTTGGAGAAACAGCAGTAGATGCCATGGCAAAAATGCATCCTCTGGATCTTCACTTTATTCAGTCACATTCACTACCTCTAGAAGATTTATTCATAACAATTTTTATTTTCCTCTATAAGAAAAATAAAAGATGGATGAAAATCAATCAGAAAAGACAAGGCAAGGAAACAGTGCCCTAAATGGAGGCCTAAACTCCAATTAGTGATTACTAAAGCAGATAACAATTTTTGCTGTTGGGTTGTCTTGCAGCAAAAAATACCCAGAAATGCCTTTTGTCGCCTGTGATGTGCCAGGAGATTGTGCCTTCTCCAGTGTAGGTTTCTCCACTGTCTTGCTCTCTCTTACCTATGCTTTTGCTATATTATGCAAGCACAGATTTCTCAAGAGGATCTAAAACTACCGCTCCCTGTCACCAGTACCATTTAGTTGCACCTATAGAGATGCCTAGACCTACCACTGCCTGAGGCTGACATTGAAAATCACTTTGATTTTTTAGCTGGTACAGCATACGGTTGCCTTGGCTTATGCAAAAACCCTGGTAAACCCTTCCTCTTACCTATTTTTTTACGCTTCCAGTTTCTAGTTGCCATTTTTCAATTCCCAAATGTCCTAAACTTCACTTACTGTTAGTTTTGCAACAGTATCTATTATGAACTGCACTCACGCACACAGTTTCCATTGTGGGAAATGCACTACAACGTGATGCCTTTTCCCCCTTACTAGTCATTTCTATGAGTCTGACAAGCTTTTGTGAGTAGTGACTTGCTGTCTTTTATTGCTGTATGACACTTGCATGCAAAGGTTTATTCAGTTTGGTAGTTTATCCTAAGGTTATTGGTAATAAGGAGAAAAATATGGACACTAGAGTTCATGCTGAAAGGGGAATGAAGGGATAGAGAAGTAGCTACTAAAATCCTCAAGACTTAACACCCATTGTGAACACACAGTATATATTCCATTTGGACAGTGAAATAAAGTGATTTGTATAAAATACCCTTGAGGTACCACAGTCTGCAGCCATAAGAGAGGTTTGTGTGAGACTGGGACGTCTTGGGAAGAAAAAGTGTCTTTCAGACGCCTTACACACATTTTAGGAATGTTCATGGTGGCACTGTTCTTGGTTTTGTAACAGCTCTGACCTTTGTACTACTTGCTGTTGCTGAAACTTTGGCAGCTGAAAAAATGTCATAGCATTCATCCCTAGATTCAGCATTCCAGTCACAGAGTTATAGTAAAATTTCATGTCAATGATATAGTTGGACCTTGGTGATTTTTTAGTGGAAAAGTACAAAAAGATGGAAATTCATAGATCCTCAATATCTAGTTTTCCACACATAGATATGATTTAGACATATCTGTCATATCCATGTTTTTCATGGTAGATTTTCTAAGAACTTTGCTGTCTTTTTTTTCCATGTGTGTTTTAAGTGGAAATTTATTTTTTCCCTTCAAATTCACTTTGAGGTTCTGTTAAAATTTATTCTACAGTTTCTGTGCACTGGAGTTTGTTTCGTTTTCCCTCTCATCAATACCACTCCTTAAAAAAGATCATAGTAATGCATATCTTTTAGCTTTTTCTGAAGAAGAGATAATTCTAGGGTTGCCAGTTTTACTTAGTGGTGCATTCTTTACTGGTAGCCAAGTTATTTCATGTGCTTTTTACTAAGAAAAAAAAATATTAGTAGGATGTTTATTGTGTTCTAAAACTCTAATTTAAGCCCACTACCCACTTTATGCCAGAGGCTTGAATGGCTAGCTAGTTTCACTCCTTCCATACATGTACTGTAATCTGCTTGTGTATGACGGACAGGACAGTCAATCACAAACATAAATGCCAAAGATATTCTCTTGAAAATCCTCTTGGTTACCAACTGGTGTAACATGCAGGCTACTGTACCCATCTATGACTTCCATTATTTCTGATACTTTCTAAGTGTGCATAGTTTCTGTATTGTTGCGGAAGGATATTGGTACCTCCAAATTTTACAGTGTATTGCTCACATAACAAATGGGGTGCAGAATACTTTCTGGTGAAGATTTTATTTTGGAAAGGACAATGACATGAAATTCTCTGCAGAGAAACTCAGGAGATGGAGTCAGCTTACAACACAGAACTAATATTTTAGGAACAGGCCTGCTATGATGTTATCCTATGCCTAATAAGAGACTTATAAAAGCTTAAGGGCTGGACTCCTAATGTATTTTTTCTGATATTGGATGGGTTTTATCAATGTTTTTATTTGAAAGTATTGTCTTGATTTAATAAGAGTTCCAAAATGTAGAACAAAGCAGAAATGGATATTTATGTATAAGGACTGAAAGGGGACTGTAATTTCCCCCCCCCATATGTAAGTTAATATTAGCAAGATATGGTGTCCTTAAGTATAATTTAATCAACTGTGTTGTTGCTTCTGGCAGCTGTGCTAGCTTTTGTTGCAATATAGCTCATGTAAGCATGCAAATATATGGTGAGTTTAAACCAAGGTTATGCCCTTATTAAAGCTATCAGTCCAGATGACTGAGAGTAGGGGCATACCAGTGTTAAACACACATTCAAGGAAAAATCTTATTACATATTTTTGTATATTTATGCATTAAAATGTGCACAGAAATCAATCAGCATTTCTCATACATTTCTTTCACTGACTATGCTGATTTTAATTGATCGTATGTATTACATGTGACAAATTTATAACTTCTACTGTCATAGTCTACTAATTGTTTTCTAAGTCATTTCCATATTACACTCTGCTTATATACAGACCAGCTAGGGCTGTGTTAAGCCTATCAATTCCATTACATACAGATTCCATATGTTCTTTCCCAATAAATTTAATTTCATACCTTTCCACTAGATTAACTCTTTATTGCTTAGGGGATTCTACAAACTCCAGATCACCATGGCAATTCTTCTGTCTCTTTGGTTATTAATTAACGAATAATGGAATATGTTCACATCAAATAGCTATATTACTGATTAAGCTTAAATATTCTATTTGAAACTGCATCAGTTGTAACACTACATTCTAACACTAAAATGGTCAATGATACTAGAAACTTGGTATCAGGTTATTTTTACTGGGTATCCTCCATGGCCGCAAGGCAGCTACCTGAAGAGTGTTAAGGGTTTGCTTCGCATGGTACTGACAGCCTAAAAATAGTCTCTATAAATTT